TGATGATGATGATGATGATGATGATGATGATGATGATGATGATGATGATGATGATGATGATGATGATGATGATGATGATGATGATGATGATGATGATGATGATGATGATGATGATGATGATGATGATGATGATGATGATGATGATGATGATGATGATGATGATGATGATGATGATGATGATGATGATGATGATGATGATGATGATGATGATGATGATGATGATGATGATGATGATGATGATGATGATGATGATGATGATGATGATGATGATGATGATGATGATGATGATGATGATGATGATGATGATGATGATGATGATGATGATGATGATGATGATGATGATGATGATGATGATGATGATGATGATGATGATGATGATGATGATGATGATGATGATGATGATGATGATGATGATGATGATGATGATGATGATGATGATGATGATGATGATGATGATGATGATGATGATGATGATGATGATGATGATGATGATGATGATGATGATGATGATGATGATGATGATGATGATGATGATGATGATGATGATGATGATGATGATGATGATGATGATGATGATGATGATGATGATGATGATGATGATGATGATGATGATGATGATGATGATGATGATGATGATGATGATGATGATGATGATGATGATGATGATGATGATGATGATGATGATGATGATGATGATGATGATGATGATGATGATGATGATGATGATGATGATGATGATGATGATGATGATGATGATGATGATGATGATGATGATGATGATGATGATGATGATGATGATGATGATGATGATGATGATGATGATGATGATGATGATGATGATGATGATGATGATGATGATGATGATGATGATGATGATGATGATGATGATGATGATGATGATGATGATGATGATGATGATGATGATGATGATGATGATGATGATGATGATGATGATGATGATGATGATGATGATGATGATGATGATGATGATGATGATGATGATGATGATGATGATGATGATGATGATGATGATGATGATGATGATGATGATGATGATGATGATGATGATGATGATGATGATGATGATGATGATGATGATGATGATGATGATGATGATGATGATGATGATGATGATGATGATGATGATGATGATGATGATGATGATGATGATGATGATGATGATGATGATGATGATGATGATGATGATGATGATGATGATGATGATGATGATGATGATGATGATGATGATGATGATGATGATGATGATGATGATGATGATGATGATGATGATGATGATGATGATGATGATGATGATGATGATGATGATGATGATGATGATGATGATGATGATGATGATGATGATGATGATGATGATGATGATGATGATGATGATGATGATGATGATGATGATGATGATGATGATGATGATGATGATGATGATGATGATGATGATGATGATGATGATGATGATGATGATGATGATGATGATGATGATGATGATGATGATGATGATGATGATGATGATGATGATGATGATGATGATGATGATGATGATGATGATGATGATGATGATGATGATGATGATGATGATGATGATGATGATGATGATGATGATGATGATGATGATGATGATGATGATGATGATGATGATGATGATGATGATGATGATGATGATGATGATGATGATGATGATGATGATGATGATGATGATGATGATGATGATGATGATGATGATGATGATGATGATGATGATGATGATGATGATGATGATGATGATGATGATGATGATGATGATGATGATGATGATGATGATGATGATGATGATGATGATGATGATGATGATGATGATGATGATGATGATGATGATGATGATGATGATGATGATGATGATGATGATGATGATGATGATGATGATGATGATGATGATGATGATGATGATGATGATGATGATGATGATGATGATGATGATGATGATGATGATGATGATGATGATGATGATGATGATGATGATGATGATGATGATGATGATGATGATGATGATGATGATGATGATGATGATGATGATGATGATGATGATGATGATGATGATGATGATGATGATGATGATGATGATGATGATGATGATGATGATGATGATGATGATGATGATGATGATGATGATGATGATGATGATGATGATGATGATGATGATGATGATGATGATGATGATGATGATGATGATGATGATGATGATGATGATGATGATGATGATGATGATGATGATGATGATGATGATGATGATGATGATGATGATGATGATGATGATGATGATGATGATGATGATGATGATGATGATGATGATGATGATGATGATGATGATGATGATGATGATGATGATGATGATGATGATGATGATGATGATGATGATGATGATGATGATGATGATGATGATGATGATGATGATGATGATGATGATGATGATGATGATGATGATGATGATGATGATGATGATGATGATGATGATGATGATGATGATGATGATGATGATGATGATGATGATGATGATGATGATGATGATGATGATGATGATGATGATGATGATGATGATGATGATGATGATGATGATGATGATGATGATGATGATGATGATGATGATGATGATGATGATGATGATGATGATGATGATGATGATGATGATGATGATGATGATGATGATGATGATGATGATGATGATGATGATGATGATGATGATGATGATGATGATGATGATGATGATGATGATGATGATGATGATGATGATGATGATGATGATGATGATGATGATGATGATGATGATGATGATGATGATGATGATGATGATGATGATGATGATGATGATGATGATGATGATGATGATGATGATGATGATGATGATGATGATGATGATGATGATGATGATGATGATGATGATGATGATGATGATGATGATGATGATGATGATGATGATGATGATGATGATGATGATGATGATGATGATGATGATGATGATGATGATGATGATGATGATGATGATGATGATGATGATGATGATGATGATGATGATGATGATGATGATGATGATGATGATGATGATGATGATGATGATGATGATGATGATGATGATGATGATGATGATGATGATGATGATGATGATGATGATGATGATGATGATGATGATGATGATGATGATGATGATGATGATGATGATGATGATGATGATGATGATGATGATGATGATGATGATGATGATGATGATGATGATGATGATGATGATGATGATGATGATGATGATGATGATGATGATGATGATGATGATGATGATGATGATGATGATGATGATGATGATGATGATGATGATGATGATGATGATGATGATGATGATGATGATGATGATGATGATGATGATGATGATGATGATGATGATGATGATGATGATGATGATGATGATGATGATGATGATGATGATGATGATGATGATGATGATGATGATGATGATGATGATGATGATGATGATGATGATGATGATGATGATGATGATGATGATGATGATGATGATGATGATGATGATGATGATGATGATGATGATGATGATGATGATGATGATGATGATGATGATGATGATGATGATGATGATGATGATGATGATGATGATGATGATGATGATGATGATGATGATGATGATGATGATGATGATGATGATGATGATGATGATGATGATGATGATGATGATGATGATGATGATGATGATGATGATGATGATGATGATGATGATGATGATGATGATGATGATGATGATGATGATGATGATGATGATGATGATGATGATGATGATGATGATGATGATGATGATGATGATGATGATGATGATGATGATGATGATGATGATGATGATGATGATGATGATGATGATGATGATGATGATGATGATGATGATGATGATGATGATGATGATGATGATGATGATGATGATGATGATGATGATGATGATGATGATGATGATGATGATGATGATGATGATGATGATGATGATGATGATGATGATGATGATGATGATGATGATGATGATGATGATGATGATGATGATGATGATGATGATGATGATGATGATGATGATGATGATGATGATGATGATGATGATGATGATGATGATGATGATGATGATGATGATGATGATGATGATGATGATGATGATGATGATGATGATGATGATGATGATGATGATGATGATGATGATGATGATGATGATGATGATGATGATGATGATGATGATGATGATGATGATGATGATGATGATGATGATGATGATGATGATGATGATGATGATGATGATGATGATGATGATGATGATGATGATGATGATGATGATGATGATGATGATGATGATGATGATGATGATGATGATGATGATGATGATGATGATGATGATGATGATGATGATGATGATGATGATGATGATGATGATGATGATGATGATGATGATGATGATGATGATGATGATGATGATGATGATGATGATGATGATGATGATGATGATGATGATGATGATGATGATGATGATGATGATGATGATGATGATGATGTTTCGATACTATCCCTTCACTTCCGTTCCTTTTCAACCTAAATATGAAGTCTGTGATTCTAATGGAATCATTGTTGACTTTTATTTTATATGTGTTATGTCAAGATTTTGAGTCTTTCCTCATCCTCGGACAAAACATCCCTCCAATGCTTCCGTGTTTTCTATTTTTCATCTAGCTCAACCACTAAAAAATCTTTATAATATCCACAACAATCCCTCCCTCTTCTGATAAGAAACTTAAAGATTTAACTAATTATATCAATGATATGAAAACATTTATCGGTTTTCTTTTTGTTTTACGAACTCTCTTCTTCTCTTTCTCTCTCTCTTTCTTCTCAAGGGAATTCTAATGTATTTGGTTAACCAAATTGATATCATTAGTGAAATCAGTGAAAATACGGTGTGTGTTTTGTTTTCTAATTGATTTATTGATAAGACGTATAATTTATGGATGACCTATGTGTAACATTGAAGTGACTTGGAGACTGTTCACCAAACTAGATGAGGGTTATAAACCTGTGTGACAATTAAAGATTATGATTTACAATTGATGGTTCAGGGTTAACAATCAAATTTAAGGGCGGTGGTGGGGATAGTTGGTTTTCATCACGATCTGACAGGAGCTATCATGTCAACAACTCTCAATTACCAAATGAATAAATGAATAATCATAATAATACATTTGTAGATATGTAAATAAATAGGAAAACATTAGATGTTTCGTAACTTAGTGTAAGCGACTTCTTCAGAGAATACGTATTATAGAAAAAAACGAAAATAAGAAAGAAAAATACACCTAATTCATTGAAAGGTCACTCTAAATTTATATGAAGGTTACAAATGTGAAAATAACCCCACCACCACCACATGGTTTCTCTTATCTCTAAGAGAAACAAAATTGGGTAAATTATCTTCGTATGACGTGTAGATATTAATTTTCTTATTGATGATGAAAATAAAGAAGAAAAATAATAAAGAAAAATGACCAATGAAGTTTTTCTTTTTCTTCTTTTTGTTGTTGTTATTGTTTTAATGAATTGACAGAGAAATAAAGAGAAATAAGGCCATTTTAAAGAAAAATATTTAATAATATCAATCGTTGAAATCATAAATCCATTGAAGCTAGATCACCATGGAAGACATGGAAGCACTGGACGGCCGTTTCATCCTAGTATGAGACTCCTCACTAGTGGCTGACTTCAAGAGGCATTTCCTGAGGTTCTAATGAAAAGCCATTACCAATGGAGTTCAACCAGATCTGTAGTGAGATATTAGCTCACTGAAGACATTGGTGCATCGTAGCGCAATTTCGTGGATTGGTTGAAGTTAGACATTAACATTATTGGGTGTCGTCCGGCTCAGTGGTGTAATAGTTAAGCGCTTGCGTGCGAGACTGATAGGTCATGGGTTGGAATCTCGCGGTGGGCGGTATCTTGGATGCGCACTGCCGAGGAGTCCCACATTAGGACAAAACGACCGTCCAGTACTTCGAGGTTTTTCATGGTGGTTTAGCTTCAATTAACTCGATGTAAACCATTGAAATTATCAAAATCTTCGCAAAACCCCTTCTGAAAATATTTAATAATAGGAAAAAGTATTGTTTATTTGAATCATCCTATTGATTAAGATTTAGTAGTTAAGTGGGTAATGAAATTATGTTCGAATTGAAAGACAATGGGTTCGAGTCCCGGGGTGAACACAAACTCTGTTATGTAGATAAATCCAGTTGACGAGTCTGAACTAGGACGAAACGTGTATCCTTCCTTCCACTCTTAGCTACTATCCACGTTTAATTGCACATTAAACAAAATGATCAATTTTATCATAGTGATTATTGATTTATTCTTGTTTTTGTATCCTAATCAATAGGATTGCCTTATTTTGTTACAATTTCTAATTAGATAATAGAAAATGTAACACTTGAATATATTTAAAGTAATCTATATTAATTAAACGATAGAATCATTGATCGATAACCGATACTGTGTTCCATCAGTAATTAAAGTTGAGTAAATAAGGTTAACATTTAAGTAACCAAGAAAGAACAAACCAGATCCCAGCGGAAGAAGAAATCAGGAAGAAGAGCTGTAAGTGGATAGGACACACATTGAAAAAATCACCCAATTGCGTCACAAGGCGAGCCCTCACATGGAATCTCCAAAGCCAAATAAGAATAGGAAGACCAAAGAACACATAACACCGGGAAATGGAGACAGACACGAGAAAAATGGACAAAAGTTGGATAGAAATAGGAAGGAAGATCCAGTGCAGAGTGGGTTGGAGAATGCTGGTCGGCGGTCTATGTTCCACTAAGAGTAACAGGAGTAAGTTAGTAAGTAACTAAATATCAAGAGGAAGATAGTCTTTCTTAAGTCTACATAAAGTTTGAATAGTTAGACGGTTATATCTTAGATTATAAAGGTGAATGATATGGTTCGAATCCTTAAAGATACACCTTACTGATGTGTTGAATAATACTAAAGTGTCAATGGATGTAGAGTTAGATGTATTTGAATGACAGTACCAATGAATGATATTCATAATCTGAATAAGTGGTTAGTAGTATGTATTTCACACTAAACGTTCCTTGTTCTGATCCTCTTGTCGTTGATTTTCTCAACCTTCTGTTACCAGACATTCTACCACCAATTAGTGATATATATTACTTATATCTGTCGATATTAATAATACATATCACACTACGACGACTGACCTCCCAATCGAGATGTGGAATTGGTTGATTGAGATAAAAATGAAGACAGTACTTTGGATGACACTGAGGACACTCATACTAGGTCGAAACGGCTTTTCAGCGATTCCATGTGTTCCTTCGTTGGTCTAGCTTACATCGACTCATGAATTCAACTATTGGGATTAGTTTACTGTTGATCGAATCTGATCGTGAAAAAATAGCATCGAATTATTCAGATTGTAACCATAGACTAATGAAAATGGATCTTATTAAATTATTCAACATTTACCTTAAATAAGGTCAATTCATCTGAATACAATATAATTCATAATCATGATAGAATAATATGAATATCAGAGTAGGGGTTTGTGGATATGTTATTCATTTTAATAGTTGAATTCATAAGTCAATATAAACTAGACCACCATTGACAACTTGGAAGCAGTGGACGACCATTTCATCTAATTATAGAACTTTCCAGCAATATACATCCGTAAACCCGCCCACAGGATTAAAACCCAATGTCTTCAGCCTCACACACGAACGTTTAACCTCTAAATCACTGAGACCACATTCACCTGTATTGATGTTTAACCTCAATCAATCTATTGCGGAAGAAACGTTCACTAGAATAAAGCAATCATTCAGTTCTTTCAAGTTATCAATGATGGTCTGACATCAATCGATTCATGATCTTAATCAAAAATTTAAAAGAATATTTAGGTCATACTCTAATTGGGTTTGTTTGCTTGTTTGCTGTTATTGTTGTTTCTGCTGCTGCTTGTACATCATTCAATATTTGCATCGATAATTGAGCTAGGTGTTTTGTTTTTAAACCTTCATTCTAGACACACATATATAACAAGAAAGAGGGAAGTACATGTTACTTATTCCTTGGTCATTTATATAGATATATCCAACTTCTAAGTAACATAAATATACGACAGATATAAATATTGCGTGATATAATTTCAACAACAAAAACAACAACAAGAAAAAAGAAAAGAATGAATAAAGGAAAAAGAAAAGAAAGAAAAAAGAAAAGAAAGAAAAAAGGAAAGAAGGAAAAAAGAAAGAAAACATATTATTTTGGCATAAACCACATAATGGTTGCTTTTCATTTTGGCTTTCGAATTCATTATTTCTATTATTCATTTCATTAATTTATTCTCTCTCTATATATATGTGTCTTGTTACTGCAATAGCAACAACAACCACAACCACAACGACAACAACAACCGAAACAGGAAATTATTAATTCTTATATTATTTTCTAACTAAAATCAATTGATGTATTATCCCTCCTCTGTCTCTTTCACTTAAATTAAGTTTACATGCTAGAAGTATTGATTCTATTCTCACCTATCCCAACTTCAACCCCACCCCGCTTTCGTTTTTTTAATACCATGTTCATTTATACCTGTATGATAACATTGTTGCTTAGTGATTGAACATGAGAAATGCTGAAAAGTCCCACAATAGAGCGAAACAGCCATCCAGTGTTTCGAGATTTCTCATGGTGGTCTAGCTTCAATTAGCTATGATCTCCACCAGTGAAATTACTATAATCTCCACAAAACCCTTTCTGATAATAATAATAATAATAATAATAATAAATAAATAAATAAATAAATAAACCATAACAGGATTCTTCAACTACTTATAACATTGTAATAAGTAGTCCAAAAACATCTATATAGAATAGTAAGGTATTGCGTAAACAAAATACAAATAAAGAAAATCCATTAATGAAATGACTTCAGAAAGACAGTAGAGAATTGAAACAGCCCATTTTTTTCTTAATAACGGTTTAGGCTAAAATCTACGAACGGTATTTGTTTTTGCACCCAAATGCCCTGGTACGGTCGAGAGTGAAGAGAGTCCGCTCTCCCATTCGAAGTACCCTCACATGACCACGTGCATATAATCACTGGCAGTGAAGTCTTACTCATAACCTTCTCTCAACGTTACCGTCGGTTACGAAATTGAGAAGGCGAAAAGAGAACTCGTGGATGGGAAACGTTTTCTCTACTTCTACAAATGACCTAACATGGCAATGCGTATACAGCCACTGCCAGAGAAATCCTACTGACTGTTTTCTCGTAGCATTACTGTTGTTTACAAAGTTGAGAGGATGAAAAGCGAATGTCCGGTATTTTAACCAGGTTTCTGAATACGGATGATCTACTCAAGGGATTTTGAAAATCCTGATTCCAAATCAATGATTTTCATGGGTTCTAGTATCCTGATGGAACAAATAACGTATGAACCAATTGTTGATCACTGGCTACCAAAGAACTGCATCTCGTTACCTTACTATATTGCCTGATGGATTAGTCGTTTAGGTCATAGGCTCTTGGGTGCAACACACTAAGAAAACCATCTACTTTAACCTGGGTATCCGGGTAGTATCCCAGCTCACACACAAATCGATCAGTTTATGTGGTACATATGTTGAGTTATTTACTTACTCACTTACTCACTCACTCACTCACGAACAAACTCACACACTGATTCACTCACTTACTCACCCATTCACGCACTCACCCATTCACTCGCTCACTCACTCACTCACTCACACACTCGCTCACTCATTCGCTCACTCAATCAGTTCAATGTGTGATATTCTATTTCTTCATTACCTGATAAGATCATTTCATTCAATAACAATCAACAAATACCATTATACATAACGTGTATTCATTCATTAAACTTTTCTCTTATTCAATATT